CGCACAGTGCGTTAACTGGAGTGCAGGTATTAGTTACCGGCACTCCAGAGCATGCCCATTGATTGGTTCATTTTGTTTGCTGTTTACAGATTGTGACGACAGAGACAGGGAAAGCGACAGAAATATCATATTTAGATGATTGTTTTGATTACTTTTTCTGGGATTTCATATTGTGACAACAGGGAGCGTGTTTTTATTTTTGACTATGATACAAAAGAGAAAGAACACCAAAACACTCGTACAAATCAGATAGCCTCATCTTTCGATGCTCTTTCTATTACTAAGACAAAACTTTGTCGGGCAGTCATAGGTTATGACGACAAATACTGACACCTGTCAAAAGTCAAACCTGCTAAGCAGGCAACACTTTCTTAATAGCATTGGCAAAGAACACTCTGTATCAAGATTAAATATTACAAACAAATTGTTTAATATTTTAACATTTTTATTTAGAAAATAATTGCCAGTGTTTACTGACACACATACTAAATAAAGGACATTTGTTGTCCAGGGAAAACTTATAAATCTTCAATACAAACAGACAGACCAAGTGCGTCAAAGAATAAACCTCTAACAGCTTATAACAACTTGAAATTAACAACAACCAAATGTCAACACCAAACACTCGTGTAAAACCTCAACTTTATTATCAGTCCTATAATTTAAATAAGGCTATTGTACTATTTGAATTTAAAAAAGAGTAAAAATGTAAAGAAAGGAAAAGAATGTGTTGAACAATAAAAGAGTCGCGAAAATAGGTGACAACTTACTTCCTTGTATAAAATCAAATAAGTGTATGATAAAATAATGAAATAATGAGTAAAATTATATGGTATTTTGGCACTTAGCCAAGATATAATTTATCAACATAAAAAGTAACTAAAGGTCAAAATAAAATGGTCAATTTTGACAATGCAAGTCGTGATACTTACACCAGTGTCAGATGTTCACATAGAAACAACCAAGATGTATTTCTACCTACACAATGTAATACTATTATCTAATCACTTTCTATAAAACATAACTTTCATGTGTCCATCTTCCAGTATTACCTTTTCCACATTTCATTTAAAATTGAGTATTCTTTTTTATTTCAAAATAAACTGTATATTAATAAAACCATCCTTTTTTGTAAGCTAGTCAAAGATATAAAGTCATCCTTATTAAAACGGAAACTATTCTTGTAGATATAAAAAGATATTTTTAGAAAAGTGTAATATTAAATTATGACAAAAGCCGTTCCTTTTTATGGAAAATGATGAATATTCTAAACAATCATCTGGAGATAACGTAACACAAACAACAAAGGTAAACCATACGTTTTGTGACCTTTGGGGAAAAATCTATTTTCTATTTTAATCATAATTTACAACAAATGACACTGAACGCTTAAACAATTAAAGATTTTAAAAATTATATTTCTGATGGCAAAATCTGCAGATTGTCGTTGCAGAATCTAACCTAAAACAAAAAAAAAACTACTAAAAGAAATCGGAATTTACAATAAAAACACAGTTTTCAGGAATTCACTGGGATGGCAAATGCACAATGCAGACATTCATTCAAGTAACATTTACGCATGCGCAATAGATCCATCGGAATTTCTTTGGCAAGTTCAAGCAAATTAGAAAATGACTTATCTCGTGTCGACCTCAGTCTTCAAACATGTTATTGATTTTATAGAGTAAAAGTGAAGCTAAAGCAATGGTTGTCTGTTTCCTTTGGATCTAAGGCGCTCTTACATCATTGGAACTGGCATGCACAATATTCGATAGTTATTGGTATGTCACAACCTCGTGAAATAAATATCTACAGGTCACTCCCGGAACAGAGAACGCCATTTTGTATTAACGCTACTTCCGGAGAGAAATCGTCACATATGTGACGTCACTACAAAATAACAACATTGATTTTCACATAAAAGTAAATTTTGAGATTACTAGATCTATGGCTTTGGAAAATACATCTTTAAGTTTGAAACTACTACTCAAAAGAACAAAGACTCAACTGACATCGACATATCATTGTAACAGCTTACCTTTCCTTCTAAAAGTTCCTTCTGATATTCATACCTGAATTTAAATTTCAAACTTTGAATCTGGTAAAAGCAGTCAAGTTTAGCAAACGTTCTCTCACTGAATTTAATTACATTTATATCAACATTGTGTTTTGTTATTTTGAGCTCATATAGAAATATGAGAATCTGTTATCTACAATATTAGTCTATCGGCTTAATATATTTTGTTACCTGAAGAAACCTTTAGAAGACAAAGTTTAGGATAAATGTTAAACGACTTAAGTCTAACAATCTAATATTTATACAAGGATAATTTTACATAATGATACATTATACAAAATGATTACTTTTGGCGCAAATGTAGGCGCCAGACGTTATTCCACAAAAACTTGGAATCGTTTTTCTAACCACGTCATTTACTACATTATATTTTTCTATCTTCACAATTATACTTTGTCTGGCAAATAATATGCGGTCAGTGTTTTGGCCAATTGTTCTGTCTAAATCTTCTTCACATAGGAAATATCTATGCATATATAATAATTCTTGTTTCTCAAAGAAAATTACTGGCTTGACACCAGAGAGAAAAATGTGTCTGCCCAGTGTAGAATATAACTATAAGAATAACACTTGTAATTCGTCACGTAAGAAATCAAAGCTAAGAGAGAGATAGAATTGTAAAGAACGCGGAACATTTTGTGTGATAATTGTTACAAGAAAATACCAGACTTGTGGAACAAGAAGAAAAAGATAAACAATCCTTAGACTGTGTACTAGTAAATCAACATCGTGCAATTATATTGGTCTGGTTGGCTTTTTACAGTCTGTGAATTTGATAAATGTGTTTGAACTATACCAGAAGACAATATGTTCAAACTATTCCATTTCAGTGAGAAAAAAACAACACTCCATCAAAATTGAATACAAAATACGGATTAGTACACAATTGAAAATGATAATGTTTATAAAGTTGGTTGAATTAGACTGCTTTATGAAATCCACAATGACGCAAATATGATGTATTTAAACTTTAACAAAAAATAGTGCAAATGTTACAAAACAACAAGTCTATTTTACGTATTACATTTTTGTAACAAGAATATAAAAATGTCCTCATTGTATAATCACTGATATAAAATGTAGATGTATTTACTTGAGTGCATTGACATTATAATATTGCACGGTTAGAGTTTTTGGTAATGCACAATTATATATATAAAGTAACTGAATGTTAAACCGTGTACTATCTTACAATAACACAAGAGAGTATTGATCTTTCTGAAGTACATTCTCAAAGAAAAAACTTTACTTTATTGTAGCATGTTTGAATGCATTTAGCGAAGTTTCCTTGGTGTGGTTTGGTTTACTGACGTCTCGTATGACGTCATAATAACGTGTTAACAGTTGTTTCTTAGCACCGTGCATATACGTGTTCAAAATTTTACTAGAATAATGCTTGCCATTTATTTATGACAATAATTAACGTTGGTGATAATAATGCTTGCCATTTATTTATGACAATAATTAACGTTGTTGATAATAATACTTGCCATTTATTTATGATAATAATTAACGTTGTTGTAAATTATCCGTTAATCCATTAAACAAATTAACTACGGTTATAATATGTGATAATTTATAAACGCTAGACAGTCCAAGCTTTCCTTTGGAAAAAAGTTTTAAATTATCACATTTTCTATCACTAAAACGATGGTTCCAAATACTTTACAATCTACTATACAAAGCATATACTATACATAGCATGTTAAATTTATTATATTTACAACTTACTCAAAACTTAAGGATTTTTTTCTGCCGATTTTTGTTGTTTATACACATAGACCTAAAGTATGTCATTCACTACATAAACTACTTGTTCTGAAAATATCTATCATTTTTTTATTAAAATGTAGAATCTAATAAAGGAATTGGGAATAAATTACAACATTCAATGTTCAATATTTATACAAGATAATTTTACCTAAATGTATATCATATAAACTAGATTCTATACATAAATACGTTTGTTTAACGTCTTATACAATTCGTAAGTTAATGTCACATGTACAATCATTGTCACGTGACTGGACAAGAAAACGTAAAGTTTGAAACATTATGGCTTTTTTTGTACCTTCATGCCCGTACATATAACTAACCTTCTATCATTAGCCGTTTTAATGCTTCTTCCCAATTAAATCATTTTGAAACAATTTGACTTGATAAAACAGTATGACACAAAATATTCTTTTAACCATATCTTCTTTTTAATAATTACCAAGGAATGAATAAATAAAGCATATATTTATCTTACATTTTATAGTTGTACATAGAAATAAAATATTCGTTGGATTATTGCGCAAAAGGACAAACTTGTTATTGTTTAAAAAAGGAACTTTTTATGACATGATGAAAACAAAACACAGAACATATATATGACAAACCCTGTTTAACCCAATCTTAATGTGACCCGTTTATATTCGATTTTCTCCGATTGCAGTGCATGTTATATGAAAATGAAAAACCAAAGTAAATAAAAATAAGATCGAAAAAAGACATTACAATTATCGTTTTAATAATATTATCAGTTCATTTATTATATATAGAGAAGGAAAACTTATCATATTTAAATCGTATTTATAGAAATATATATTCATTTGCCTATCAGAATTGTTTATTATCTAACAATTCAAAATCTGTTTTTATTTACAAACAATAAATAAACTGTTTACTATGTACATTAAATCCAGCTGAAAAAGTAAAGAACCAAAATTATCAGGAAAGATCAAGATAAAAGCAGACAACATTTACTATTTTCTAAGATAGTTCTACTTCCGATTGATAAAAACACCAATGAAAATCTACATAATTTTCTTTAGTCAAAATTTATATATATTATAACATATAATTTTCGTAACTTCTTATATTTTACTTTTGATATTGACGTACGGTACTGGTTTTATTTTTATGCTATTTTCTTCAAATATCTAATATATATAACAATAAAATATAGCAGAAGTAGCAATAATTTTACTTCAATGCTCATCACAAAATATATTCACAGTGTGACATCACTCACTAGCACAACCAATTAAAATTCATATAAATGTCACATGATTATTGTACATTGTATTTCACATAAGCGTCCATCTGTGCGTTATATTTCATTTATTATCTACAACCTCTCGAAGTTCTCTGATAACTCTAAATTTCCCGCCATTTCCAATACATACAGAAGTTGACAGACGACATATTGTTTGTAGTTTGAAGCAACCATATATGCGTGCAAATATCAAGCACGTTCACTTATTTTATAGCACAATAGTTTAAATTAAAACAGACAACGTTCTAAGAAGAACGCCGAAAAGCACGAACAAATTAGTTTCCTTCCAAATTATCTCAAATTATATTAATGATAATATTCTTTTAGATCAATATTGATTCTCTTTGTTACTTCCTCTTTTGGAATAATCTATTTTTAGCTCTGTTTTAGCTCACGTGATCCAAATTGTCCTTCCTGGGGTCATAACCCATGTTTTTTCTACACAAGAACATGTTTATTTCCCTAAACGACGGGCGTTCACTTTCCTGTCGATTCCAGCATTCACACATTAGGTCATAAATTTCTTTAGGGCAATTAGGTGGGTGGGAAAGGACCACATGTTCGTTATCATTTCTATAATAATGACCGGCATTAGAGATCACTTCCTCATCCGTGAGGCCTTCGAACGGTTGTTCACGTGCAAACGTTAAAATCTCCCACAATGTCACAGCGAACGACCACACGTCACTCTTCGTGGTAAATTTACCCTGCAAGAAATATCGAAATATTGAATTTTTGTAATGTGTAATTTTTGATAAAGAAGCAGACAATGGTATTCCTCACTATAATGCTACCTTCAGGCGAACATTTCGGGATTTCATTAACTAACGACTGTTTGGGATACGCCCATATAAGTGCTGTCCGCTAAGGTAATATTCAAAAGTTATACTTTTAGACTCTGGAGTATGTATAGGGGTGCTGTAACAGGATCTAAAATTATGTCAAACATGTCAAACCGAAGGTAACATTTTAGGAATTGCCTTTTTAGTATACATGATAAATGAATGACTGATTAATCAAACATGGTAGGAATAAAATGAAATGAGTACACAATTTAACTGGGTAAATATTTTGTAAAAAGAAATAAAAAAAATAAATCCAATCATTCAGTAGTCACCATGCCTATTTATAAAATACAAGGGTTACATACATTTACTATTTCATTCGCAGAAAAACAATACATTAAACTGTATGCCTCGTGTTATATTTTAGAGAGGTCAATTTATAAATAACACATGCGAGCGAATATTAGAGAAAAAGACACATTCATGAAATTAACAATGTTTTCCATAGAAAAAAAACGGAGCTGCATTTTTGCGCATACCAGCAAGATCGACTCCCAACCCATCCATCTGATGGGGAGCACAGCTCGGCCCTCGATTCTGTAGTAGTCCGAACTGTACAGACTGCGACTCATACCGAAGTCCGATATTTTGATGGTACAGTATGGACCCACCAAACAATTCCTGGTGGCAAGGTCCCGGTGCACCATGTTCAGGGATTCAAGATATTTCATACCGGAAGCTATTTGTGATGCCATGTAAACAAGACATCCATAACTGCAAAAAAGACAACAACAATGATACATTTAGTATTATACATGCTGAACATCTTAAATAGACTGTGTCCAGCTTCCATCTTAGGATTATATACATGTATTATTAATATTGAAGATGTCATAATAAAAATTATTCAGACAACAGTATAGAGCCTGGTCGTACTGCATGAATACAACCGTAGTAACAACAGGCTAACATATTATATCACAGAATTTTTTTTGCATTAAACACGTTTTTAACTTCATCAGTTTAACAAAAATAATTATGTAATACTTAATCTGATCCAATATTCTTCCAGCAGTATCGATTAATCTAAATATATTTTGGTTCCATTTATAAAAGTTTAAAACACCTGACTTTCTGGTCCGGGTTTTAAGAATACATAAACCTTTCCTTATTGCAGAATAAAATACATCAGTTAAGTCGTTTGATGAAATAAAAATTTAGCTTTTATGAAAAAAACAACATACTGATTGATGTAAGACATAAAAGGGGTTCAATCTTCCTAGAATATGCTGATGTAAGAGAGAGAATAAAAAGCTGGAATCAGTCTACCTAGAATATGCTGATGTAAGAAGAAGCTGGAATCAGTCTACCTAGAATATGCTGATGTGGAATCAGTCTACCTAGAATATGCTGATGTAAGAGAGAGAATGAAGCTGGAATCAGTCTCGTCTGCTACATCAGACGTCATAAACAGATTATCCATTTAAAAATAGCTTATAAAACAGGGAGACTGCAACATGTTATCATTTATATTGAATGTAATGGAAAAAGACTGATATTACAAAACAATTATTATAGCGTGAATGTCTCACTTTGTTGATCACCAGACGTATCCAACATGTCGGCTGCTGCTTTATACGACTATAAATTGATGAATTAACTAAATAGAATTGGCGGACACGAGTTGATGAAATAATACATCAATATCTCACCTCAATATTTTGGCATTTGGCGTTTGTATGTGAGTTTCTGGCAAGTGGTCAAGTAAGAATTGGTTCAGATCACCGTATTTCATATACTCTACAATCATACACATGGGTTCCTCCGTCGTGCAGACCCCTAAAACTCGAACAATATTTGGGTCCTTCAGCATCGACATGACTTTCATCTCCCGGTGGAAGTCCGACCTACAATAACAAATCAATATTTTCGTATTAAATGTGTGTCTAGATTTAAATATAGAATCGCTTATCGAAGCAAGCCATTAATATATACATACAAATGTATACACCAGTAAGTTTTGTCCCTTTGATTAAAAATTGGTATAACAAAAACAAAATGTAATATATTATGTAGAACGAGAAAAAGAATATGAAAGAGAGAGTTTCACATCGAGGAGTCGAGGAGATTGTTTATTAAGATATTCAGTATAGGGGAAATGTTCAGAAGAAATAAACCTTCCATGAGTGGACAAAAATAATGAAATATATCACGCGGACATTTTAAATACAATGTATTACGTTGATAAAATGGGTGTACATTTTATTTGTTTATTTAGAGTGGTCGTTTTATGAACGGTCAAACGTTTAAGGTATTATGTTCCCAATATGGTTTTATATGTGTTAAAGGTATTACGATCCAAATATGGATGGACAGTTTATGAGAGGCCATTTTAGGGATTGAATGGTCATGGTGCGAGAAGTCCTTAATACAAAAATTGTATAAAACCAGACAGTTATCACCGATAACTACTGTTGTTGTATATTCCTTTTTATTTACGGGATGTGAATTATATTATATCCTTGTAATTAGTAACAGGCGATATTTTTAAGTAGCTGATATCAAACCATAATTCACTCGTACACTATCATAATATACATGTATATCGATATATCAAGTGAGACAGTTAAATACAGCAGCTTTCAGAAACATAAAAAACTAAATGGACAAAATCCTGATAACTTACTTTCGACTAGACAGGAAAGTCTTATTGCTGGGAGTTTCTTTTTTCCTTTTAAGAAAAATATTTCCGTAAATCCTCAAATTTATAACACAGCCTTGACAGAAACATTTAAAGTTTCCCATAAAAATAAGGTTGTAGCAGATAAAAGAAATATTTATCCACCGATGATTTGACCAAAATAAAAGAAAGAAAACTTGGTCAAATGAATTAAAACAAATCCATTTGCCATTTTTCATATCAAACATTTCAACAAGTATGTTCAAAAGAAAACACCGAACCCTTAAGTCAAATATAGCAACTTGATCAGATTGTCGTCTGCTACATTTAAAATTTACAATCTTGTCTATGTCACGGTTAGATCAGCTTTAACTGTCCTCTGTCAAGCATCGCAGTGTCTGCTGCTCGTTTTATTATACATGTACATGTACATGGAATCATTTGCAAACGACTGTTTCCCGCTTTGTGACGTTTTTGCGGAAACAATAGCGTGTGTGGTTCAAGAAAAAAGGGCCAGTTCGAATAGAAGATGAAATTAAGATGGGTAAGATTTAAAACCGGAAGTACAGCAAGAGTGTTAGTAAAGTTTCAGTACTTTGCACACCTGGCTCGGTCGTCTGCTGTCTTTCTTAAGATCTTCACGGACACCAGTACCGGGCCCGATTTTCGTCTTGTCATCATATACTCTCCACCAAACGAGTCCTGCAGACCAAATGCCTCGCATAGGTGTACCTGAAAATAGTTACAAAATATGGGAAAAAATCAAAAACAATAACATTGCAAACAAGAACAAAGTTTATGTATTATATAAAACAAATAACATGTCATGATTATGTTGGGTTGCCTATATGTTTATATTTGGGGAAGTCGATGTCATGCAAGATACACATTTAAGTGAACACGAATCCTAGACAAAGACCTAACCAGAGAAATAATACTAAATTGAACTATTAATGAATTTGATATAAGTCATGTGATTAAAAAAACACACTGTTTGACATTTCTCTCACTTGCTTTTTTGTTTTATTGAATTACAACTAACTTTGTATTTTAGTGTCTAATATTATTGTAAAGTTATTTCCACGATTGAGAACTTTCTGTGAGTTGTAGACATACAGTTGCATACTACAAGTATATACATGTAATAGGACATGTTTTAAATGTATTGATCATTCAGGCTTTACTGTACAGTCATTAGATAACAAATTATATGCCTACCTCGCCAAACTCCCCTTCACCAAGAACTTCTACAAATCGAAGATTCCTCCGTGGAAATTCGACAAGGGTACAGTCTACGCTGCTAACCAGGATGTCCGAGTTAGGTACAGCATAAACATTATTTCCGCTGACGCCCTGAAGGCTTGGAATGTTGGGTACACAAGAATTGATGACGTCAGACGCAGCATATAAAGCATCATAAGTTGGTGGTTTGTCCAGAGCATTCATACTGGTATTTTGTGGCTTGGCTTTAAATGTGGAATGTTGTGATGTCGTCACTGGCGTCACTGGTGACGTCACAGGAGGTAAAGCTACAATTAAAGGTGGTTTGAAGTCGTCAAGTTCCTCGTAGTTGAACGAATTGACATTTACTGGCAATACGGCTGTGCGGAAACAGAAAAGAAAGCGAAATGCAAATAAAAGTGTAAAAAGCAAAATAAAACTGTGCAATGAATGAACGCAATGAAACGAAGCAATAAGCATGAAATGTTCGTGCTGCTACAGAACAAAATGGGTGACAACTATAGAAATACAAAGCGGCGATTAATATTTAAAAAAATCTACAAACCAAGTGGTTTTTATTCGTGCACAACAAAAACAAAGATGAAAGGTGATATGCTTGTTCTAAATGAAGTAAGATATATTTATAATGTACAGTATAATAATCACATCCAACTGATACAATGACAATACAAAAATTTAACATTTAGATTTTAGAAAGTAAGAATGGACTTGAATAAATCTTTGTATCAATATACATTTAAGTTGTTAGCTTCAATATAAAATTTATATATATTTGTTAGAAACAGTACTTAGCCCACAATATAATAAAATGGGTCAACTTTAACTTCATGTAACATATTACAACGAATGCGTGCTTTCAAAGAAGGTTATGTAATATACTTGAAGAAAACTTTGTAAAAGCAATTTGCGGACAGTTTAATCACAATAAAAAGCGGATTTATGGCATACACTATTAGTTACCTTTCCCGTTGATTTCTTTGACGTGATCATCATATTCTGTGGCCACGCCATTATACACGTTGCCGTTGGAAACCTTTCCGTTGACATTGTTCTGGAAATTGTTTAAGTTTATATTCAACACGGTATCCGATACGGGTTTTAGACTTTGCCTATTCAAATGCTGACGTCGTTTATGGCGCACAATCACAAAGATGACGATTATTGTTAGTATAACAATAAGCGCTGCTAGCGCCCCGATGATTATGTACAGGTTAAAGTTAATTAGTGTGTATGCAAAATATTTACTAACAGCTATATGATATAGCGGTTAATGAGCGTTTTCCGCGTACAGCCTCCTAAGGTGTACTAATAAGTTAGTTTTCCTTAGTTATCACGCAAGCATGATCCATGTCTCTGATGTAAGCGACAGTTTACCATTATTTGTCTTTTTATTTGTCTTTAAAAAAATATTAAGGACTATTAATGGTTTATAACAACAAAAGAACATGCACGGTGTTGCAACGTTCTAGTTAATGACCCGTCATAAACAGTTGGTCGCTGCGTAGTAATTGGAAAATTGTTATCAAAAAAAAAAAAAAAAGAATATTTGCCACCTAATTAAAGCATTTATCTATAAATTTTCATTTATGCTTTTTGTTTAAAAAATATTGATAAAGTTATTATATAGAAGGGTTTTCATACCAGAACTATTTATTACCAACGTGCGTATGCCTAAACCTGATTACCGCGGCAGTATGACGTCACGGAGTAGTGATTTTGAAAAAATAACAAACAAAAATCGAGAATTATTATCTTTACAAATTGCAGATATGAAATTAAAGAATGAAAATATTTTCATATTGTAAATGTCTGTGATGAGTGATGAGTCAGCTTAGAAAAAATCAAGGTACTATTTTGTGACCTGATTACCGCGACAGTAAGATTTGACGGACGGTTATTAACATTTGGTCGGCATAGCCTCCCCAAAAAACAATATCGCTGTAGCTCCGCCTCCGGAATAGCGTCGGTTAATCAGTTCATTCGATTTATAGTCTGATTTTATTGACCTGTCAATTATGAATGCATTACAAGACTCATCCCACTTCGGTTTGGTCCGTGTAGTTTACGAGAATTACTGTGGAGTATATAAGTCATGGATTGAAAGTCACACCAGCTTTATGTGAAGGTTTTCGTTAATTCACAATAGCACAGTCGGTTAAGAGAATGCCTGATAATTAAGAGGTCTGTGGTTCGATTCTTACTCTTGTCACTTGTACTCGTTCTTTATTTTGCAGTATATTTAAAGGAACATATTTGTAGTGTGTTTTACGGCATTGAAAATACATTTATTGATTTTAATCCGTTTTAATTTTTTAACATGATTTCTTAAACATGTAATTTAAATGAGTATAGACATAACAAAATTAAGTAAAACATAATAAAACAAAACGAACAATATAAAATAATCATATATAGCTTCAATAATGTTGAAAGTATTAATAAGAAAAAAAACATGAACCAACGCGGTCTCGAACTTAAAAACACGTTTGGCACTTAGATTAGCTTTACCACGCTGAGTGCACTTAATTTATAGGTACAAATTAAATGAAATTCCATCGTACAGCGTACATCTCACGGAACTTACCGAAAATCTACCGAAGATTAATATACTGTGTAATCAGTATGTAATTGACAGGTTAATAAAACCAAACAATACCTGGTTAGTAGCACTGGTTGTTTAAAGCTCATTTACTAAAATAAATTCTTTCAAATTATGAAAAATACTGCCATCTCATTGGACAAAAAATAATTTCAAACACTAAACTGTATTGAATATAGCAGTACAGTTTTTTTTCATTGATTCATATTTCGCATCTTGTATATATCAATGTAGTTCTTTTTTCACAGAGGCTCCATTGGGGCAGTGGTAACGAACATTCCCAGTAGCAAAACAATTGAATCAATGAAATAAAATAAAATAAATAAATACAATGAAAAATATAAACAAAGATTAACTAATGAAATGAAATTTACTCTCATTTAATCAAAAGGTACATCCGCTGAATGAATTATTTCCACTGAAAAAAGCCTCTAAAATCCTGAATCAATATTGGTAACAGTTTATAATCCGCCTCTAACAATGGATATCTTTCTTTTGCGGCAGCGAAAAAAACTTGAAAAAAAATTGACTGAACCATTATGTAGCTTACGATTTATTTATTTATTTATTTCTATTACAATGCCATTGTAGTATATTAACCTCGTTAGTTACGAGGATATAACACTGGCTGGGCGACATCTCGGGATGTTTCTGCAAAAAATTGTCTTGGTCTTACGGCCTCGCCATATTTAGCAGAAACATCCCTTGATGTCACCCAGCCAGTGTTATATCCTCGTAACTAACTCGTTAATGCCGGCTCGCCACGGCGAGCCGGTATTACGTTAGGATTTTACTGAGAAACAACCTAAAACTCCGAATCCATCCAAAAATTTAATCGAAGCTTGGCTTCCAGCTTTCTATAAAAATTTATCTATCAGGGCTAGGATCCAAAATTATTTAGCCAATCAAATTTAATCTTACATAGCGTCAAAAAACCTTCAATTTTCACGCCATATAAAAAGCAGCAAGTATTGTTTTGAGCGCAAAGATATTATGATGATTAAAAATGTTTGTTTTCGTGAATTCTTTTCAATAAATCATATTAACACTGACTTTTGATATAGCGATTTCACCTGTTCCTCTGTAGTAAGTTTCGTTTGGTTAGATTAACATAAGTGTTCACCTGGTTCTGTGCATTTTTTTTCTTTTTCCTTTTTTCCGGTCAGATTTTATCCTTTCCGGTATTTAGTGTATATATTTTACTGGCCGGGATCCGGGACGACCGGACTGGCCGGGATCGTATAAGATATAGAGGAAAAACTTATAAACTATATTTTGTGTTGATTATTGTCGTAATGAAAGGCCATTAAACGTTAAGTTTTTTATTGTATGTAATGAACGTTAAATTAATTAAACTTTGGATATAAATATATTTAGAGCTATTTATCAACAAACTTAAAAATCACAATACTTATAATTAATGCCTAATTATTGGAAAAATCCTACATTAATTCCCGGGATTCCCTTTAAATGCGATCCCAGCTTTTCTTGAAAACGTATATTCTTTGAACTGGCCAATTCGCTTGGATCTCTTATACTTTAATTAGATCCCGGCTTTCTGAAAAACTATATTCTTGAACTGGTCAATTCCCCGGATCCCTAGATATGTTTAATAGGTATCCCGGCTTATCTGAAAAGCATCTAAGACTGGTTAATTCCGATCCCTATATCTTAATAGGATCCCGTCTTTCTGGCTGAATTGAATTGACAACTTGTGTTTACTTTAGGGCTTGTGTCTGTCACTCATGTCCAATACTAAATTATGATATTACAACTTAACCTTGCGTATAAAGAACATCCTTTATGAATTCTAGCTAATCTAACATTTTTATTTGGTCAGGTCTCAAAAAGGCCATATACGTAAATGTGCATAGGCATAGGGACTTCATCTATCTGTTTACATGCATCTTCATATATACTCATATCCTCTTTGTTAACTGATGAAATGGCTTCCATAACTTTATGTCACTTTATTTGATGTTCTCTGAGTCTCTTCAGCTAACAGAACTGTCATTTTTACATTTAAAACGCACCCCTGGAAAAAATTACGAAGCGAGTTCGCTACTAGCTTTTAAAAAGCTAACCTTGTATTAAAAAGTTAAACTATTTTCTACCAAATATAAATTCAAGTTTGATCTAAAAAACCGGTTTATTGTGATGGATCGGTCTACGTACTTTAAACCGACAGTCGATACTTAAAATTAAAATCTACTTGGTATTTCCATTATGTGACGTCACACTTCACAGCGTGACTTAATTTCGCGTCATGCTTAATGAATCGGTTTCAGGAAGGTTAAAGAAGAATGTTTAGTTGTGAGTGTAGCTTAATATCAAAACGCTCAGAATAAGCTTTAAATCAGATAATGGAGTGCGACGTCACGAGGTAAAAGGTCAAGAGGTGTTCGGATATCGAACTTTAAAAAAGGTCATGAATACGTAATATCTATTAAATAGACAAGTGTGGTGTGATTTTGCTGCGAATCTTACTTTTTAAGTTTTCTTTTATCTGTGTTTCTACTGGGATTAAATATAAATCATATTTAAAACATTTGCATGAAGGACTTTTTAAAGATGAACCTTGTGCGCACCTACTGTTTCATACACTACAAATGGTTAAGAAGACACATTTTCCGTAAGTAATAATTGCAATAACATATGTATATCTTAGATCATGTATTTTCATATTATTAAACTGATACATATTTCATTTTCGCTCATTTATTTCAAGCAGACAGCGTCATTTTCATTGAAAAAACATGTCTTATTTTTTGTGTTGCCTTTTTTGTTTGGTTTGTTTGTTTGTTTGTTTATTTATTTACAATATGTCATGACCGTTTTTCCGGTCACTTTCGGTTTTCCAAAGTTAAACATATCGACTTTGTTTAAAAAAAGGTTTTAAAAGGTTTACGTCGTATATTGTATAACGTTATCGATTTTTTTAAAACTAAACAATTTTCGCGAATCTTTAGGCCAAAAAATGAAATATTGTTTGCTTCCCCTCCTGCTACCAACCCGTCACAGCTTACCAAAAATTGTTAAATTGCCAAACAAAGACATAGGAGGATATGTGCAAGTTTTTTCTATAAATACATGATTATGTTCATCCCGTTTTGTATGAAAATAATATTTCATGAAGTGAGCGGTAGCACGCAGTGAAATATCGTTATAATTTTCATTGCCCACAAATTTGAAAACAAAATCATGTATTTTAATAGAAAAACTTAATTTTCTGTTTTTATATACTTTTTTATCTTTGACATTAAAATTTGAAAAACTTTCCTTTAATTTTTGTGTGACTGGTCAAATTAAAAGAAGTTAGTCCGCAAGACACCAGTGAAAATACGGAAAATATGTTTCACTGCAGTGAAAAATAAATTTTTACAGTGAAAATACAGAAAATGAAAATATGCATTTTATTTCATCAATATTTCTCAATATTTCATCTATAGGTATATAATAAAAAAAATTATTTTTACAAAATAAAAGGCTAGGTTCAGTCTGTAAATGAGAATCACTTGTTTATATCTGTTTTATGTTTTTAAATATGCAAACTGGGATAAATGCAGAATTTACCGAAAAAAACATTAACACTTTGATTTT